ATTCTTATTTATATTTTATATTTATATTTTTATTATTATATATTTATTATTATTATATTTATTATTATATTATATTTATATTTTTTATATTTATATTTTTAAAAGAATACAGAAAAAAAATATCAAGTATTAAATACTATTGACTATAGTGACAAATATTTCAATTTTAATCAGATCTGGTGTGGCGCCGGTGTAAATCTAAGCGGCGGTAAGACGCGCGACGGCGGATGCATGATCGGCGGAAGTGTGTTTTACGCCGCCGAGGCCCAGGAAACGACGATCGGCAACGCGAAGACGGAGGCTGAGGACGCCGTCGAACATCTAGACAAAGAGCTTCAGGAGAGCGAGAACCGGCGGCTCGAAGCGGAACGATGGGAGCAACAGTTGAGTTCGCTCGTCTGGATCTGCACCTCGACCCAAAAGATGTCCAAGGTCACCGTGATAGACGCGAACAATCCGGCAGACATTCTCGAGGTGTTCAATGTTTGTCAGGGACACTTGCTCTGCATCGCGAGCGTGCCCGGTGCCAAGGAGAGCGATTACGCGCAATCCTCGAACGAGAACTCTATTCGCAATTCGGTAAACGGCAGCAGTACGACGAACGACAGCGAGAACAACAACGGCGCTTGTCACGAGGACGTTACGAATGCGAACGAGAACACCGAGCAGAATAACGGTCGAAAGAATCATCCGGATACCGATGCCGCAGTTGATAAGAATAAAAACGAATCTGACAATCAATCGGAGGATCAGGCGAACGAGAATACTACCGAGAAAACTGCCGAGACGGATCAGAACTCCACGACGAACGAGCCCCAGAGCCTGGAGAGTATAGATAGCGAGACCGCGAATCTGGGAAAGGTACACTTTGTACGATGCAACGTAGAAGCGCATCCTATACGATTGAATGACAAAGATATCGTGAACGAGGAAACGAAGGAGGAAGTCGCCGAGGAGGAAACACCCATCGAGAAAATGTCATCCATACAACCGACCATGTGGCTCGGAGCCCAGAATGGCGCGGTTTTCGTTCATTCGGCCGTTGCCAAGTGGTCGGTGTGCTTACATTCTGTGAAACTGAAGGACGCAGCGTTAGCTATCGTGTACGTAGTTTTTCCAATAGTGATCGAGCAGATATGCACAAAAACTCGAGCGATAAAATCCCTTAACTTAATCTATTTAATTTCGACTTATAATCTTAATTCTAGAAAATATGGTTGATCAAAATTAACTTACCTGCATAAGTCTTTTACCGATGAGAGATTGATGAAAACCTCTTTTCTCAATAGACATGTACAAGGCCGAGTCCTGGTCGCTTTAGCGGATGGAACTGTAACAATATTCCGTCGAGGGGCGGACGGACAATGGGATCTGTCTCAATACCATGTGATTACGCTTGGTAGTCCTCAACACTCTATTAGATGCATGACCGCAGTCAGCGGTAAAACCGTGTGGTGCGGATACAGAAACAAGATCCACGTGATTGATCCTATTTCGATGACGCTTGAGGTATAAAAACTTCAATATCATCATCAACCCGCGATATCAACATGCAAAAATTACAGAGAAGAAATTCTGATGAATTAATAAAATTCTTATTTTCCAGTGCACAGTGGATGCACATCCTCGCAGAGAGTCTCAGGTTCGGCAATTGGCATGGCTGGGCGACGGCGTATGGATCAGCATCAGGCTCGATTCAACATTAAGACTCTATCATGCTCATACTTATCAACATCTTCAAGACGTCGACATAGAGCCGTACGTCAGCAAGATGCTCGGTACGGGAAAACTGGGATTTTCTTTCGTACGCATTACTGCTCTGCTTATTTCCTCGAATAGGCTGTGGATCGGCACCGGCAACGGAGTGATAATCTCGGTACCGCTGTCGGAGAGTAAGTTTGAAGCAACTTGAGGCAGACAATGTCGACGAAATTGACACTCGTTATATTCTCATAATATTGTTGCAGGCGCTGGCGGTTCAATGGCGGTGTCCAGAGTCCAGACCGCCGGTAATAAAGGCGACGCACCTGGCGTCGGAGTCAGGATCTTTGCGTCGGAACGAGGTGTCACACCGGGAAGCTTCATACCCTATTGCAGTATGGCCCATGCCCAGCTCAGTTTTCACGGACACAGAGACGCCGTCAAAATGTTCGTCGCTGTACCCGGTAAGCTTCGAATAATCAGAGTATCGTCGATTATTTTTTTTACACGAGAGATTTTTTTTTTTAAATAATTTCATATCGAATCTTTTTCTAGGTCACGGTGGTCAGAGCGCGGTGACGGATGGGACGCAACCTGCGATGCTCGTTCTCTCCGGTGGTGAGGGTTATATCGATTTCAGAGTCGGTGAGTAAATTTTTGCCTGGTGATTTTGCGAGGTCTTAATTACAAGTTTTAAATAAAATCAAAATGTAGCGTAAAAAATGGAATAAACTTTTATCTTTTGCCGTGCGAAAATCAGTAAGGATTCCCGAGTCACGACTCACACTTTGGATAACAGATTATTGTAATTTCAGCAGATGAGGCTGAAGACGAGAGTGATGTGGCAACACACCTAATTGTGTGGCAAATGGTCAGGTATGCCCCCAGAGACAGAAAGAAAGAAGCAAGAAGAGTTTGATCGACTTCTATATCTCAATTTGAATTACCATTTCTTTATCTATTCTGACAAACGTCATGTCATTAATCCTCGGTGCATCCTTTACTAATAGAACGATATTTTCCACTGTTGCACGATACAATAAAGTTCACTAACAACAGCATTTCTATAATCTTTTACATATACGTAAATTACTGTGGGATATACATCAAGTTTATACACAGATTGCGCTTGTGCAAACATTAAATGTGTTCAAGATCGAATTCAGAGGAAGAATTCTCTATCGGTACAATCTGGTATTTCTCACATAATTCCGATGCAAAATCTCCGATCTCTCGCTTCTCTTGTTAAAGAGAAGAATCTAGCACTCTGACCCTTTATGCAATTGTAAATCATGCATTACTTCTTTTATTCTCTGGGGGTTGGGCTTTTCCATCTGTCGTGTACAAATGTCACCACTCATGTCTGTCCTCTCCTTCATTCGAACATTCGTTCGCTCTAGTGGAAACGTTTACATTTTATAATCACTCTTACAGGTGATGGGGAAGAGACGGAGGAGGGCATGGACCGGTCGAACGCTACGGTTAACAATGGAGCGGAGGAGCACGGCGAGCAGAGTCATCTGATTGTGTGGCAAGTGCAGTGTCCCTTACCGATGCCAATAAACGGCTAGCCTAGAGAGGAAACAGATTCGTTGGACGATCTAGCTTTGTGTAGCGTAACATTACATCCGTCGTCGACGGATCATCGATGGATCATAAATTGTGAATCGTTGATATTCGCTGCGAACTAATGTGCTACACTTACATCTAGATATAGATATATAAAGATCGTAGCACACAGAATATGTTAATTATTCCCAAGATAATTATCACAATTTTTCGTATTAGTAGAGCGGAGACGATTTTTTTTTTTAAATCGCCGGGCAGTTATCTTCACAAGATTCTTAAGTGAAGTCTACAAATCGAGATTCTTGAGTGAAGTCTGTAAATCGTATCGATACAATCTGAAGTCTCTCACACAGTTTCGATGCAAAATCTCCAATATTCTCGCTTGTAATTAAATCGTATCCCTATAAAGCTTGCGTACGTATGGATCGTACGCGACTTAGGATCGAATTATTTAATTAAATAATTACGAAAGGTTTTTCTCTCGCGATGAATGTTCATTTCACGTTTTACGTGATGGAAAGAGAGGGAGAGCGTTATTTTTCTGCGGATAATTGTGATAATATGCGAAGGCGACATTGCAGGTCGCGAGATGAGTTTTGAAGCTGCCGTGTATGACATTTGCTACATTGCTGCAATAAATATCCGTTCAAAGTACTTCGCGCATGTACCTGTCAAAGACAGGCAGAATATTTCGCCGTTTATACACGCGATATACAAGAAATAAGGTGCGTGCTATCTCAGGCAGTCTTTTTAGATGTAACATAATATTAATTTCCCCGTCGGAGAGAATATATTATTTTCCTGACTAATCAATTTTATTCGCGTACGTCGTGTTGAGCGCAATATAATGATAATAATATATATATATATATATAATTATATATAATAATAATTAATATATAATATATATTCCTCTCTTCTCTTGATCAAGCATTGTCAAATCGTGCCCGGTGAAACGTAGAACTTTTCTGCGATTTACACGATTCATTTATTAGGAATGCAACGCATCAATGATGTAAATAACAACAAAATGTTTATATAGCGCCCCATGTGTGTGTGTGCGTGCGTGTAGATTCGTTATTTAATTTCGAGCGGAGTTATTTTATAAGTAAGACACCCCCCTGTTCTCTCTATATTCTTACAATTTTATAACTCCAACTCTTTAGTACGCTGCCAAAGAAGTGGGACGACGATCCAATTATGTATTGTTTACATTATTTACAACGAGGATTATGCTTCGAACGCATATGCTCTTGTGTTTTTCCGCTCTCGGCCGAGTCGTCAGATAACAACCGGATTGATATTGAATTTTGTAAATCGCCATGTCGAAATGACATTTCCCCAATCCTTCGACTATTTAGATACGTGCAATAAGAGAGCTACGCACTGTCGGGCGAGCTGGCTTTTAATGTCGAGCTCGGAATTGTACCTGGCTCAGGTGGTGTTGTGTAACGGCATTAATAAACGGAAAAGTTACAGAAGAACTAAATCTTATTTCGCGATTTAGCTATCCGATCCTTCCACTGAATTAAAAATTTGCGAAAGATCGCGCGACCTGAATTTCTTTTAGCTTTTTCTAAAATGTGAAAAGTAATATTTATATAATTTATATTAACAAGATGTCCCGCACACAAAATCAACAGACGTTCTTTTTAACAGCAGATGCTCTGGCCAATTTAGAATCGATTTTTTTCTCAGTGAAGAGAAAGTCATCATCTTTTGCAAATTTTCTATTTTTACTATTATATATCTTAAATCTTAAATTAAAAAATTCTATTGAAATAAAAAACTCTATTTGAAATTAATTGAAGAATGTAATTTTGTTAATTTGTTGATTCCGCAAAATTTAGTTTGCAAAAAGCTTTTCTTCTCCAATTGTAGCTCGGAAATTATTAACGCCTCGATATTTTCGCTGAAGAAAAATAGTCTCCAGAGAAAGAATATCCGGTGGTTTTAGAACATTCTGTATGTGTGCAAGTGTGTGTGTGTGTGTGTGTCATGATTAAAATATATAGCAAAATTCACAATTTCTTTTTTTGTCTGTTCTTTTTCTTCATTTTATAGATATTTATCTATTAATTTCTTCTGAAATTATTTTTTGCAGCTGGATCTGTAATTTCTGTAGACAATGCATATGTGTGCAAGAGTGTGTGTGTGCGTGTGCGTGTGCGTGTGCGTGTGTGTGTGTGTGTGTGTGTGTGTCATGATTAAAATATATAGCAAAATTTACAATTTCTTTTTTTGTCTGTTCTTTTTCTTCATTTTATAGATATTTATCTATTAATTTCTTCTGAAATTATTTTTTGCAGCTGGATCTGTAATTTCTGTAGACAATGCATAGTTGAACGATTACAAATTTATCTTCTATTAGAAAAAGGTGTACATATATTGATCCATTGATCGATCCATATATTTTACTATTTTCTTGAACTATTTTCAAACTGTAGCAAAGAGAGAGAGAGAGAGAGAGAGAGTGAGTGATTGAAGCTTCGCGAGGGATGTGAAGTTCTATTTTTATTAAACAAAATATAACCCCTAGGAATAAGCTGTCAAGTTATTCGCTTAATTTTGCTTACATTTGTAGACGGTTTAGTTATCTGTAATGACACCTTCCACGAACAGAATGTGTGTGATGCGTTCTCGATAATCTAATCATAAAACTTTTGAAGTATATTATATCATCACCTGAGAATTTACAGGTAATTCAATTTATCTTATTTATCAATCGCATCTCTTTCCAAAACACACGAGAATGATATGCTTATATGCCAAGAAGAACAGGAAAATCAAAATGATGTCTAAATATGGTCAAATTTTAGTTTGTCAAAATTACATCAAATTGCATAAAATTTTTATGTTTTCTTGACGTCTACGGTGACATAATTTTGACATTATTCCTTTGACTGTTCAGAATTATTGATTAAGACATCAAGATAGTAATTAATAAACGTCATATTTGACTGTTCATGATACATTTCATTTTTATTACCAATATATATAAGTACAAATCACAAATAATATATTATTTGTAAACATTTTATTGCACAGTAATAATAAAGATTATTGTTATTCTTTCATTTACGTTGACCAGAAGTGTTCAACCAGCGCTTCATGGATTCTTCAGCTATCTTCAATGATTGATTTTTAAAACGGTTCATCATGGCACTTAAATCTTACATACAGGATCAGGTCAATGAAACTTTAGGGTCTTATAGGAAATTGAATTTGGAACAAAAAAGTTCCTATAAAGATAATAGGAAACGCTTCGTTAAAAAGTTATAGCTAATAAACTCTCTGTAATTAATCGCGGGCTAGTAAGAGCCAGACGCGGATGGTAGTGCGTCAGTTTTATAGAAAATTAAGTTTTCTATGAAACTGATTATGTGCACAGGGCACGAAATTTACTTGGTCCTATACTACGATTTTTTTTTTTAAATCGGCGTCTGTCTCTTACTAGCCAGCGAATATTTAAATTTGTTATATCACTTGAGAGCCTTAAAAATTTCTTTAAACTCTCTGTAATTAATTATTATCAATTATTATTATCTCTGTAAATAATTATGATCAAAATTTAATAAGAACATTTTTATGTTTGCATTTGCAATGTTTACACTACGAATGTAGTATTTACACAAAGACCATCAAAAGGAGGTTTTTCCAAGCTTTTTTCGTTGTTTTGAGCTTATTTTCTTTTGAACGTCTTACCAGAATTAAATGAAATTGTCGTAATTTAATTTGTTATTTAATTACCCATCAGATTTATTTTGTTATTTTTTTCAAATGAATGAAGGGTTTTAAAGTAATTTTTAAAAATTATCAAAAGATGATTTTTCCGAGTTTATTGACTATAACTTTTTAACGAAGCATTTCCGAACTTATGTTTATAGAAACTTTTTTGTTCCAAATTCAATTTCCTATAAGACTCTGAAGTTTCATTGACCTGATCTGGAATATCCTGTATAAGATTGTTTCACGTGTAAAGATTTTTTGAATATAGAAACAAAAAGCAGGGGTGAGTCTGGCTCGGTGGTCTGGCCTGTTGACAATTACACGAAAGGAAGAATCGAAAGAATAATATATAAAAGAAGCGTATAAAAACATCCATCCAGGGTTTATTTTTGCAGAAGAGAAGACGATTGTTCTTCTTCCTCATCTTCGGGAATTTCTTTTGTGCGGAAGAAGCAATCTCTACTTTTCGCGCCAAGATTTTGAATAAGAGATTTCAATTCAAGATCTCAATCCCGCGAGAATCGAAGGATGCCGAAGGTGTGTTCGGACTTGGTCCGTTTCATTCGAACGGTATCGCCTCTCCTCCCTCGTCGACGCGAGGCCGATTCTTCCCACCCGAGGTCCGTTCTCCTCCGTCATTCGTACGAACGCGATAAAAGCTCGTCGTCGTCGTCGCCGCCGACCAGTTACCCAGTCTTCCTACGTCGTCGTGAGATCTCGAAAAACCGCTTCGTCGCGCCTCGCTCGATTGTCTACTACAGGAACTGCGCATCCAGCTGCGAGAGATCGATCGGCAAAATGGACCATCCGGTAAGAGATCCGGCATCGGAACAACTGAACAATTTCAAGAGGACTCTCAAGGTAAGAGATCGTCAACATGCGTGCCATACGCAATTACAGCGGTGCTCAAATGCTTTTATATTTGAATACGATTGATCCCGCTTGACTTTTTTATTTTTAAATTTGTTAATATTTTTAAACTTTTTGGTCGCGACAAAATATATAAATTTGTGTATGATTGTACAGACAATTTTTTTTTAATTCTTCAAATTTAACTTTTTCTGAAAAGAAAGAAAGCGAAAATTATTATTATTATCTTTTCCTAGATACAGAGAAAGAAAGTATATATATGCAAATTTTACACGCAATATACAAATATATATATTTATATTTGATTGAGTATGGATTTTTTTTCGGGATATAAATATATATTTATATTGATAATTATAAAAATTCTATCTATGCAATTATTCCAAAATTTAAAATTGTCGCATTTGAAATATTCATCTACACATATACATATGTATACGTACTTCGTCGAAGCTTAATTTAGCGAAATCTTCTATCTATTATAATATATTAAAATATCTCTGACATGTTTAAATATTTAAGGAAGAAATTAAGGAAGAAACAAATGTCTCTCATTGTTGGCTGTTAAAAATGCTGATTATATTGACTCCATTTCGGTAGAACATTTTGTTGTACATTATTAAATTAATTATATTTACGACGCAAAATTGAGAACAAAACTATAAGTCAGTTCTTTTGTCGTTCTGAATCCTCTCTGTTGCTTAAGCAAAAAATCATTATCAAACCGAACAGTTTGCGTCATTATGACATTGTGAAATAAAATAATAATCTCGTGTAATTTCAAATCAGATTTTTCAAAATATCAACATAAATATAGAAGTCTGAAGAAGAATATTTCATATTCTGCTTTAATATTTCATAAATATCGATCTTAAAGTAAATAACTGTAATTTTTTGGCTAAATTCACAATTCATAACTGTGCAATTACAGTGATGATTTATGATATTTACCCAGTTTACGCACAAGGATTCATATTACAATTTATAATATATTGTAAACTAAATCCTGCTTACAGAATCAAAACACTTACAGCGCTACATCCACTATTATATAATGAATTTTATCAATGTAATTTTTTCAATTCTCTCTCTCTCTCTCTCTCTCTCTCTCTCTCTCTGTCTAATTGTAAGGTATTGGTATATACAAACATAATTTCTAGTATTTTTCCGATAGCCTCCGGTCTCTCAGTAGCACATCGTATAAAAACCTTGTCCGCATTAAACATAACTGAAACTTATAATGCGGAATTCTAATCTTAGTTTCTATGTTTCTACTTAGTAATGCGGGGCTCAAAAGATAAACATATGATATGATAAGAATGGAAATCTATTTATATGTAATTTATTTGAGAAAAATTCAAATGATATGCATACAAGAATAATATACTATTTTCTCTCTTCTTCTATATTCTGACATATAACAGAAATAAAAGTTGGATAAAAAAAATACTGTCTATTATATACAAAACCTATCAATAATTAAAACTGCAATCACTTCCCCCAACCTTTACATCCTCTAGATTTGTATGTTGTTAGGGTCAACTCACACAAGCGCTTTTGTAGTACTAAATCATCGTATTTTTTTTAATTCGTAATATTTTTTTATTAAAATTATTTAAATTTTATGAGATTTCTTACGTGAGAAATCCTAATTTCAGCTGGTGCATTTTTTTGCGAAAATGTTTGAAATTAGTTTTATTTATATACAGACACACACAACTGTTGATTGTCAGCTAAGGCGTATTTATTTGATATTCTTTCCTTTTTTATACATTAGTTGATGCCCTTTACACCGTCTATGAAATATATATTTGACATACAAAGAGGTTCATTGTTTGAAAATCCAAGGAAGAACCAAGAATTACAGAATCTTAAAGCGTTTAAAGCACGACAAACATTGTGATTTATCGCCACGCATTTTAGATTTTTCTTATTGCGATTCGCAATTTGTCTCTCTCTCTCTCTTTCTCTCCGGCAGATCATCCTCGAAAAATCACAGAGCTTTTAGCTGTCAGCTTTCCGCTATTTACGAAGATGATTGAAGAGCTAATGTCGTGTTTGTATATTTTTTACTTAGATCAAAGTGATTTGTTTTGCACGACAAATTACATATATGTTTAATAGATACGGCTGAAAATAGCTAAACTCCGATTGCGTTATAGTGGCGTGACGAAGCGTAGATATGGATAAGTTAAATATTATCCCGATTGAGCGGTATTTTTAAAATCGCGTCTATCAGATTAAATCAATAAAATGCTTAAATAAATACTTATCTCGCGACACCATATGATGTATCGGTGAAATGGCGCCACTTTGCCATAAAACATTCAGGTCAAACTTATTCAGGTCATTTAAAAAAAAACTGTGCTTACTCGCATATAATTTACATTCTGAAGAAGTTAGCAACGCAGATGCGTACTGGATGCACTAGGTCGACGACGACAATTTGAAGATAACATGCACTGTCATGTCGAAGCAAAAGTTGCATATTATTCGCGTGCAATAAAATCGCGCAGCGAGAGGTGCGCTTCGCAAAAAAAAAATAAGTAGTCAACGTAACATGCAAATTAACTGCAAATTAACTGCGACGTTCCGCTAATCAACACGCATAGATGTAGAAATCGTATCGCACGCGCTATCATACAATCTTGCTGCATGAAGGCTTTCTGAACGTTGAAATGATAAGAGGAAAAAATTCTCTTGGACTTCAATGTATAATATAAATGTAGAATTAGAAATTAAATTAGAAAAAAATATAAAACCAATAATATAAATTATAAATAATAAAAGTAACTAATAAATAAAAATGTGTAATAATTAAATTAAAATTAGAGAAATAGATAAAACATTATTAAACATTAATACATAAAAAAAAACTTGTACGCAACAAAAAGTTTAATATTTATCCCTAAAAAATAACTTTGAAAAAAATTTTATCTTTAAAAATAATTTTCCCATAAAAAATAAAAAATTAAAAAATAATTTTCCCCTAAAAAATAACCCTAAAAATAAAAAATAAAAACTGAATATGGAATCAATAGTTAACTAGCCAAGTACTTAGAAGCAATTCAGTTTGTGAGGATTTGTAATTTGAATAGTATTTGTCATAAAATCAATCTTGTATTTATAGAAATGTTATAGACAGATTCTCTTCATAAAATTAAAACGCATCTTATTTTTATTAACAGAAACCTTATTTTGAATAGTATATCACAAATTACACTATTATAGAGTTTATTAAGGGTGTTATATACTATAATATCAAATCATATTGTTGATGTTAAGTGCGATTAGGATTTCTTTGATTTGCAAAGTATGTCTTACAGGATGTATAATTTGAAAGAAAATTTTTCGTGAACTCTAAGTCGCATAAAACAAATTTACACCAAAGCAAAGTATAAAAACTTGATGTACCCGGGTCGCATTAAGACGTGTATGTACATATTATAAATATAAGGTTTCTTAATATATTATAATATTTTGAAAATCTTAATTTTAAATATTTTATATATTATCTTGAATTATATATTATTTTCTATTATCTAATATGTTGATAATATATAATATAATTTGTGCAAGATAATTCTCGCGATTAATATCGGTTTATTTTTTATATAAAAAGATAAGTTTTTAATTAACTAATAAAACTAAATAATAAAACTAAAATGTACCCGGGTCGCATTAAGACGTGTATGTACATATTATAAATATATAATTATTTTAATAATGTTTCTTAATATATTATAATATTTTGAAAATCTTAATTTTAAATATTTTATATATTATCTTGAATTATATATTATTTTCTATTATCTAATATGTTGATAATATATAATATAATTTGTGCAAGATAATTCTCGCGATTAATATCGGTTTATTTTTTATATAAAAAGATAAGTTTTTAATTAACTAATAAAACTAAATAATAAAACTAAATAATTACCAATTTTTTACTAAAAGCTTTCGCAACAATTGCTTGTCCGAGAGAAAACCAGCGTTTTCTAATTTAAAGAAAAGAAAACACGCCGCGATAATATTGCGAGCAAGGTACAGCAATGTGATTATGACACAACGATAATTGCCGTAACAAGACGTCGAATGGGGTTCTTAGATGATAGATAGGATGTCGAAAGAGCGAGGATCCTGCACGTTTATACGATCGACGAACGAGATTATTTTTATCATATTATGATTTTATCGCGATTTTTATCATATAAAAAGCGCACTCACTTCTAGTTTGTTCATTAGCGAAATGAATAGTGACAGAGGGCGTCATGCCCGTCGCGGTTTCTGCCTTGCGTTTTGGAAAAGGAAGAAAAGATCTAATCACGAGAAGATTTCTGATTGTGTAACACATTTTATATGGCTGTTTATACAATGATTAAGATGTCGCTTAATTATTTATGTGTGTTTGTAATAATTAAAATTCAACAAGTGTCACAGAGCCTTTCAGTTTCTAAAAAATGTTGCTCTAATTAATAAAAGGAACTATACAACAAAATATAAAATATATGACGTGACTGAAGGACTTTTCTTATAAATTTTTTTTTTATTTTTCTTATCTTTTTAATTTTTTCAGTCGACGAATAATTAATGTACAACTATCTTTTTCACAGGATGAGGCACCTGTATTATTAACTGCAAATGGAGCGCCCGTCGCCGAGAAAAAGGCCAGCCTCACGGTTGGCCCTCGTGGACCCATGCTGCTGCAAGACTTCGTTTACCTGGACGAAATGTCCCATTTCGACAGAGAAAGGATCCCGGAACGAGTTGTGCACGCTAAGGGAGCCGGTACGCTTGCTTTATTTCTTATAGTGCGCACACAACTTTAATATATTATATCTATTATTTTCCTGCGTAATTTATAATTTTTATAATCTTATAATTTTTATTATAATTTATATAATCTATTATTTTTATTAACAACTAAAATATTATATCTATTATTTTTATTGACAACTAAAATATTATGTCTATATTTTTTATTAATTAACTTCACGCGTATTTTTTTCTTCTTTTCCAGGTGCGTTCGGCTACTTCGAAGTCACCCACGATATCAGCAAGTATTGCAAAGCCAAGATATTTTCCAGCATCGGAAAGAGGACTCCCATCGCAGTGAGATGCTCCACAGTCGGTGGCGAAAGCGGTTCTGCCGATACTGTCAGGTAATAAGCAAGAAAAATGCCATGATAGTGTAGTGTGAATTATTATTAAACTTTGACCTGCAGAAGTTTTAAATATTCAAAAGATGAGATAACTATGTGTATGCCCTTTCATTTGTGCCTTTTTATACATTTAAATATATGTCACAAACATATATAAAATATTTAAAATATTATATATAAAATAAATATATTAATATAATATAATATTATATCCTATATATAAAATAAAAAAAATGCTAACATAAATAGTTATTTTAACGAGTACATCGTTGGAGTGAATATGATGCAGTTTCCGCCATAAATGTTCGCAATACTTTTATCATTTAGTAGAAAGCGAATGAATTGCTCCTGCGGTTACGTGCGTCCGCAACGCGAATATTGCACTCGACTTACTTTTCGTAATACAATGATTTTTCATCATTCAACGGTGGTGCAATAGAGGAAAAATGATTTTTGCAAGAATTGCATATTACTCCTCTGAATTGTGCTTCACTGACGCAACTATACATAATTCGAGTGGTGAAAGATTAAATAATAATAAAATGAATAGGCAAAAATATTCTCAGATATATATGTATATATATACAGGGTGTCCCAAGGCACCCTTGACAACGCTTGTGAGCAGGTAGAGCACAGCAAACTGAACAGAAAGGTCCTGTACCATTTTTTTCTATAACGCTTAATAAAGGAGTTCAGAGATCCGCGTGGATTCGCCGTAAAGTTCTATACCGAGGAGGGTATCTGGGATCTCGTTGGCAACAATACGCCGATCTTCTTTATTAAGGACCCTCTTTTCTTCCCAAGTTTCATACATACGCAGAAGAGAAATCCCGCAACCCACTTGAAGGTCCGTTTGAATGTGATAGCCGATACAGATAGCCAATTAATTCAACGATCAAGTGCATTTATGTATAAAATGCTTTTTTTATATTAGCGTATGTGGAAGTTAAATGATATTGTGAAGTAGAGATTATACTAATAATTTTTTTTTTTTTTTAGGATGCTGACATGTTCTGGGACTTCATTTCCCTCAGACCCGAGACGACGCACCAAGTTATGTTCCTCTTCGGCGATCGAGGCATTCCCGATGGACACCGCCATATGAACGGCTACGGTTCTCATACATTCAAATTAGTCAACTGCAAGAATGAAATAGTCTACTGCAAATTTCACTACAAGGTTCTTATTTCAAATCAGAAAAAAATAGCAGTATAGCTTGATCTATCAATATCAGAATTCTTTGAGACATTACGAATATTTGATGATAATCGACAGACCGATCAAGGGATCAAGAATCTCCTCGCGGAGAGAGCCGCCGATCTCAGCGCTTCCGATCCTGATTACTCGATTAGAGATCTTTACAATGCTATTGCTAGAAAGCAATATCCGTCTTGGACGTTTTCCATCCAAGTAATGACCGCTGACCAAGCGAAGACCTTCAGGTGGAATCCATTTGATTTGACAAAGGTAATTATTACTCTTTGCTTCTATCGGTATTCTACTCTATAAGCAGAGTTTCGCTTTTTGAAAATTATACGAATTTCTCTTATAGGTGTGGCCTCACAAGGAATATCCGCTAATACCAGTGGGCAAACTGGTACTGGACCGCAATCCCGAAAACTATTTCACTGATGTGGAGCAAATGGCCTTTGATCCGGCGCACATGATACCTGGTATTGAGCCGAGTCCCGACAAAATGTTGCAAGGTCGACTTTTCGCTTACGGTGACACTCATAGGCATCGCTTGGGACCGAATCATCTTCAGTTGGCAGTGAATTGTCCTTACAAGGTAACACTTTGTTTTGCGACAGGATAAACCATCTGATTCCTTGCATTTTTTTTTTCTAGTTACGATAGAGAACCTCACGTTTCCTACATTATATTTATTTCACAACTTGTGATAATTTTTATTCATATTTCTTCAAAAAAAAAAGAAGTAAAAACTTTTTATCCAAGTAACATATATATCCCTAACAACACACATGTTCAAAAGATGTCCAGAGGACATCCACAGGATGTTTTATATCCTCTGGGTGACCTCTAGATGTTTTTTGAACATACATGTTGTTAGGGATTCCACACTTTATAATATTTATATTATGAAATGATAAATTTTATTATTTCCAAATTATATAATATTTTTAGCAAAGGTTGCTATTTGATTAATATAAAAAAAAAATTATTATATTACTATATTTTTATCAACATACATCACATTATTTGATTAGTATATAATATTTATTGAAACATATATCTCCTAAAGATTAAAAAATGCAATTATTTATCCCATAGGCGATCTCCATGATGCATTATCAGCGAGACGGTAACATGGCTGTATACAATCACGGGAGTGCGCCGAATTATTATCCAAACAGCTTCTGCGGACCGAGGGAGTGTCCGGCCGTTCGTTCGCCGCCGTTCCACGTGAGCGGGGACGTGGACCGTTACAATCCCGAGGACGAGGACGATTTCGGTCAGGCCACTATCTTCTGGAAGAAAACCCTCGACGAACCTGCTAGGGAGAGATTGGTGCAAAACATGGTTGGGAATCTGCGCAACGCATCGCCGTTCATCGTGGAGCGTGCCGTGCGAAACTTTGCCCGGGTGGACGTCGATCTTGCTCAGAGATTGACGGAGGGCTTGCGCAAATACGGGATACAGATCAACGCCTTGGGAAAATCAGCCAATCTCTAAAGAGGATTTATATCTGTCTCTTTCTCTTTCTCTCTGAAATGTTGTATTATAACTTGTCCCTAACAACACACATGTTCAAAAGATGTCCAGAGAACATCCACAGGATGTTTCATATCCTCTGGATGACCTCTAGACATCTTTTGAACATACGTGCTGTTAGGGGTGTAGCTTTTGCTACTTAAATACGTAATATATTTTACAATATATAATATTTTATATTGTTTATCAGAGATTGTTACTGAAAATATTTCTTTCCGCAATGTTATATATTGCTTTTAATTATCGAATTTTTTTCATCCTGGAGTTATTTCTCCCTGTAACGCTAATTACTACTTTACGAGGGTGTAGGTGCGAACCTATTCTATGGTGCCTTTTACATAAGATGAATATGTATCTTGCCTATTCAAGGAGAATGAAAAGGAAAAAAAAAATGCATTATTCTACTCTTTACCATTTTCTACCGTATTTTGCTACAACCGTTGTCGATTTTAATGTTGTAAATGAGTATTTTTTAAGCCTGGTGATTCTTTCGAAGGAAAAACGCATTTGTGATGGGAATTTATGTGTAAATAAAATTTAAAATTGCTATACAGATGCATTATATATATCGCAGCGTTTTTCTATCATTTCCGTGGCTTTTGTCTGCGAACAAAAGGATTGGAAGATCTTTTACCTTCGCGTGAATTCTCAAGGTAGACAGCAAAATGAGTCATACCTCCAATTAGGGTAACTTGTGGCAACATAGCTATTTCGACTGCATTTAAACTGCATTCAAAACACATCCGCTTTTATCCGTCATTTTGAAGTCGAACCGAGAGTTTCGTGAGAGATACCGTCTTCATCCTTTTCATCATCTTTTAATCGATAATTAAAGTATAAGTGCGTAAAAAGGAATAATCTTATTTTTTAAAAGGTAATTTTTATTTTATTTAATTTTAATTCAATTCAAATTTAATTTTATTTCAATTCAAATTTAATTTAATTTAATTTTAATTCAAATTTAATTTAATTTTAATCCAAAAATTTAATTTCAATTCAAATTTTATTTAATTTTAATTCAAATTTTATTTTATTTCAATTCAAACTTTATTTTATTTTATTTCAATTTAAATTAAATTAAATTAAATTTTAAAATTGCTATAAAAAAATGTCAAAAATTTTTTATAATTTTTCGTTTCCTCTCTCTTCAATATTTAGTGTAAACGAAGTAAATTGCAGTTCGAAAGAACAGATTCTCCAACAATAAATAAGCGTTACGTACGTTTAAATGCGCGCTTTGCAGCGTGACACTTCCGGCCAAATTCCTCATCCGAGGCTGTGTTCCGATTTTTCAACCGAGTGCACCCGATATTATAGTATATGTCACGTATACTATAATATCGGGTGCATCCGGGTGGGGAATCGGAACACAGCCCGAGATGCTGTAGGTGCATACACATACAATTACAGCACAGCTGTTCGCTTCACGAATCCCATATCCCATCCCCGTCACGGGATGCTGTCAACAAACGTACGCGTTTGCAGATAAATCCGATGCGTCGACGTACTTGAAGCTCTCTTCCGAGAAGGTCTTTCTTCGTATGTAACTGTCAACCGCGCACGATTAACCTGCGCGACCAATTATTATTATTTTTTTCTTTGGTAAAAAATAATGGGAAGTGAAAATGCAGTCACGTTGTCTTTGCAGATTCCCCTCGCAGCGCAAATTGTGGGTGTTCTTTTTATAGAGTAGGCTCTCTGACCTTCTGTTCCTTCAAAAGCGTACTCGGAACAGCTTCTCCTCTCGTGTGGACGCAGATCATGTTACGACTAATCTTTTAAATAATTATTTATATACACACATTGACATCCAACTCTATGACAGACAGGTATATATATTTATATATTATTATGCACAAGAGTTTTATCTGCAAATAGAATCTTACAAATATTCTTTTTTTTTTTCAATATATTGTTCTTTTGTGCATTGATTGATTTATCCTTGTATTGTTGTCGTTGATATTTATCAATCACTATAAAGAGTAATTGGAAGATCTCGATGTGTATAATTGAATGATGTTTTGTCAGGAACAAAGTTTTGGTCGGTGCCGAAGTAATATGGGGTGTAACCCTTTGCTGTCTTTTCTTTAGTCACAAGTTATTAAGACCCGTGGCACTATTAAATTTTATCCCTGCTATCTTATATCGGTCAGTTTATTAGTTTTCTCTGATAAAAAACAGTGCAAAATATTTATAAGAGATTTGCATTTACTGTTTTACTAATCAGAGAACAATTTTCATCAATAAAACAATTAGTGAAGTGTTAACAATTAAAAACTATATGTACTATATTTTTGAAGTAATTTCTATTAATAATGTATGTTCCTAACAGCTTTTTTAAACATTTGGTTTGTGAGTTTTTTCTCGTTGCTCCGTTTGTCTTTAATATTAAATAAAATTCCATTTATTGTTTTATGATTATTTAGCAATCAAAAAATGAAGAATGAAGAAGATGAACAACAACATAATGCGGATGATGCTGGTACATCAATGAATTGTGATAATAATGTACATACAAATGAGCAAAATGAAACGCAAAATGAAGAGCAAAATAGGTGCGTAGCTAAAATTTATAGTAAAGACATAAAAATGATAATAGTTGAGTCTTCAACTAATGAGTTTTCAACTAATGTTAATTATATATATTTATTTCAACTAATGTTAATTATACATATTTTATTTCTTGCGTTAACAGACAACTAATGCCAAATTTTATGTTGGGAGGATTAACGGGAGCGTCGCCACCGAAATTTGTGTCTTTTGATGAAATTATAAAAACTGCTAATGGAATGAAAAATATGGCCTTAGCGCATGAAATCGCGGTAGATAAGAATTTTCAATTGCAAAAATTGGAACCGGAAGACGGTAGTTTTCATAGGCGAGTAAAGGAAATAATGCATAAAGCTTTTTGGAATCTGTTGGCGAAGAAGTTAGCCGAAGACCCGCCAGATTATTCGCACGCACTGATTTTGTTGACAGAGATTAAAGAAGTAATTATATAATTTCTTCTCGTTTTTGCGACAAATCGAAAAGGAAATGTCAGATATCGCCTAACAATATATTTTCTATTCATTTCAGTCCCTGGACGAGCTTGTACCGCCGCAAAATTCCAGAATCAAAGAAAATATCAGAGAAGTGCTCGATCTAGATTTGATCAAACAGCAAGCGGAGAAAGGTGTATTAGATTTTCATCATTATGCGCAGTACATAATCTCTGTTATGAGTAAGATTTGCGCGCCGGTCAGAGACGACAAGATCAAAGAGCTCTCGCAGCAGGTGGACATAATCGAGACGTTCAAAGGTGTCATGGAATTGTTGCAGTTAATGAGATTGGACTTGGCGAATTTTACCATCACAATGATGAGGCCGAGCATCATCGCCTTGAGTGTCGAATATGAGAAGGCAAAGTTCGCCGAATTTTTAAAGATTAATTCAAACGGTCTGCAAAACACGGAGAAATGGTTACTGAGACATTTCGATCCGGAGAAGATCGCGAGTTCATCGAGCAGCGATACCAGTAACATAAGACAAATCACTCATTCTCTAGTAACAGAGGCGTATCTCGATCTCCTGGAATGGGATTTCAATCCAATTGCCGAAGTATGGATTAATTTTTTTATCGAAAAATATGTGGAATTTTATGTTACTTGATAAGTAGAGATGTAAAAAAACGATTTTGTTTCTAATAGAAAAAAACAGTTGAAAAAAAAACAAATTTTGCTTTTTTCATTATTTTTTAAATATAATATTATTTTTCTTTATATTTTTTTGTTAACATAATAAAAAAAAAAAACTAAAGTTATTACATCAAATTCTACATGATTCGGATAATTTTCAATTAGATGCATAACACAAATTTTTATTATTTAAAAATAGTAATTACATAACTATATAGCCAATTGGAATGCAAGTTACATTTAAAATAATAATGGTTAATTCAAATCTATCATATTTAAAAAGTTAAATAAAATGGAAAAACAATTTGCAGTAATCAAAATATAAAGATATTAAATATCTAAAAAAAAAAAAAAGACGAGGTTTGTTGTTTTTTTCATAAAACGTTTTTTATTTAAAAAGAAACATTTTTTTTTCTATTTATATCTCTATTGATTTATTACAAGCTAGGCGTGTTTTATTTAGACATTGATGCTGGATCAAGGAAGAATTCTGGAATTGCGCGACATAACCAGTAGATTGAGTGTCATCGGTTCTGTAATATTGTTGGTTAATAATACAATCGGTGCGCCGATTCACGGGATTTCAAGTTTTAAGAAGAATATTAAGGAGCACTTGAATGCATTGTTGGACTCTGTACATTCCAACAAGTATGTTCAGCCATAATTGAAGACGAATCATAATTATAAATAAAATATATTAATCATTCGCTTTTTTTCTCTACAAACTTTATGGTTTTATTAGCTCAGAATATTATACTCAGAATTTATTAATACAATTCTACCGCTACAGGGATTTGGAAGCTGCGATGCCAAATATTGTACTTCAAGTAAAAGAAGATGTGAAAGCGACTTTACGGGAAGTCGATGCTCCCGAGTTGTCTCCAGAATTAGAAACATTATTGGAGGGTCAGATAGCCGATCTTGTAGATACAAAACATAAGATCAGATATCTTGTCAGTAAGTATAAAAATCAGTTTGACGATATTAACGCTTTGGGCTATTAATAAATATCGTTTTAGGTTTGCGAATTAGACAATTCCTGCAGAAAATCATTCAGACGCAATCTGTTGCGCCCCAACAAGTACCGCCAGGTCTCTCCTCGCTGCAAGAAGAATTAACGGCCATCGCTGCTCGATTTGTAATACTTATCTCGCATAATCGTAGCGTATTTGGTGAATATTACCAGGATATTGTCGCAAACGCGTTTGCGAAAAATGATGTTGACAATAACAAGGAGATGCATGAAGCACATACCATGGAATTGTAAAAAATGGAAATAGAGACAAAAAGTGAAATTATACACGTATAATATTAATATATCTTCGCGAATTATATCGAGATTGTTTATAGCTTATCAAAAAATAAAGATATTAAAAATCTAAAAAAAAAAAAGACGAGGTTTGTTGTCTTTTTTTCATAAAACGTTTTTTATTTAAAAAGAAACATTTTTTTTTCTATTTATATCTCTATTGATTTATTACAAGCTAGGCGTGTTTTATTTAGACATTGATGCTGGATCAAGGAAGAATTCTGGAATTGCGCGACATAACCAGTAGATTGAGTGTCATCGGTTCTGTAATATTGTTGGTTAATAATACAATCGGTGCGCCGATTCACGGGATTTCAAGTTTTAAGAAGAATATTAAGGAGCACTTGAATGCATTGTTGGACTCTGTACATTCCAACAAGTATGTTCAGCCATAATTGAAGACGAATCATAATTATAAATAAAATATATTAATCATTCGCTTTTTTTCTCTACAAACTTTATGGTTTTATTAGCTCAGAATATTATACTCAGAATTTATTAATACAATTCTACCGCTACAGGGATTTGGAAGCTGCGATGCCAAATATTGTACTTCAAGTAAAAGAAGATGTGAAAGCGACTTTACGGGAAGTCGATGCTCCCGAGTTGTCTCCAGAATTAGAAACATTATTGGAGGGTCAGATAGCCGATCTTGTAGATACAAAACATAAGATCAGATATCTTGTCAGTAAGTATAAAAATCAGTTTGACGATATTAACGCTTTGGGCTATTAATAAATATCGTTTTAGGTTTGCGAATTAGACAATTCCTGCAGAAAATCATTCAGACGCAATCTGTTGCGCCCCAACAAGTACCGCCAGGTCTCTCCTCGCTGCAAGAAGAATTAACGGCCATCGCTGCTCGATTTGTAATACTTATCTCGCATAATCGTAGCGTATTTGGTGAATATTACCAGGATATTGTCGCAAACGCGTTTGCGAAAAATGATGTTGACAATAACAAGGAGATGCATGAAGCACATACCATGGAATTGTAAAAAATGGAAATAGAGACAAAAAGTGAAATTATACACGTATAATATTAATATATCTTCGCGAATCTTGCTATGCCTCTTGTTCTGAGATATGCACGATTATATCGAGATTGTTTATAGCTTCAGTCGATTATATAAATTTTTCTTAATACAAATCAGATGATAAGCATCGAATTGCATCCATATTCATTGTGCATCTCTTTTACTAGCGATATGATGGATTTTTCTTTTTCGAATGCTATATTATAGAGATACGGGTGTCATTTTTCATATTTATGTTCATTTAATTGTGTATAATATATGAGATATCCGCAAATTATATATATATATGTACAGGGTGTCTCACCAAAAGTGGCCACTCCCTTTTATCTTTTAAACTAAAAGAGATAGAGCGTAACAAATATATATCAAATTAAATGGTTCAAACTGAACTTTTTTGTGAACATAGTGGTTGCTTCCAAAAGCTGTGTTAAAGAACGGAGAGGCATGCATAATCTTTTTATAATATGAATTTTTCGACATGAAAAAAGTTGTAGCGCTGTTTGAAACGAATACAACAATGTATGATATAATGTTATGCGTCGTCTACAATGGCAGTAACAAGGCTGTAGGAGTAGGAGAGTATACTGTTTTTAGTGACGTAAAGACCGGGAGTAACGAAATGGGCAATTCCCATTTGCTCTTAAGGGGATCCTAAAGCTACGGCCGAACTCCGACGGGTTTGCGCCCTCATCTGAGAGGAACTAAAATTGTCGATAATTTTAGTTCTGTCATTACCAACATAATTATTTAAAACATACATAATAGAAAACGCAATCTTTTGCATTGTGTTCCATATATTGAAATGAGACAATATCACAATATATTTTTACTGCTTTATATACAATAATTAATTGATAAATTACCAAACTTTAATTCATGCGTGAGAGAGTAATATACATGTGCGCACTAAGGCCCTGCGCACAATAGAGAAAATATTAGGAATAGGAATAAAATATTAAATATCAGGAGGAGCAATTTGGAATTATTTTACTTCAAACAAGAAAACGGAATGGATTAATTATTTCTAATTTTTATTTTTTTATTTCATTATGCGTTAATCCATTCCGTTCCCTTGTTTGAAGTAAAATAATTCCAAATTGCTCCTCCTAATATTTAATATTTTATTCCTATTCCTAATATTTTCTCTATTGTGCGCAGGGCCTAACATTATCGCAATTTCTAATATCTTTTTTCTCTCGATCATAAGCTTACTCTGTTTCTCTCTGTATCTCTCTTTTTAATCGCTCGCTTACTACGTACTGCATATCGCTTAGCTTTATTCTTCTATTATAGCATATTTGCTTACGCGTTTTCTGCCCTACTAACTTATGGCCAACTTCTGACTCGTGCATTAGAGATTGACATATGTCATATTGTTATATAATCATAATCCGCAGGACTGAAAATGAAAAGGTAGCCGTCGCCCGCAATTAATTCAAGTTGATAAAACTCGTATAATATGTAAAATATTTACATTATATCAGACATTGTTGTATTCGTTTTAAACAGCGCTACAACTTTTTTCATGTCGAAAAGTTCGTATTATAAAAAAATTATGCATACCTCTCTGTTCTCTAACGCAGATAGCTTTTGGAAGCAACCACTATGCTCAATAGAGTTCAGTTTGAACCATTTAATTTGATATTGTTTGTTATGGTCTATCTCTTTTAGTTTAAAAGATAAAAGGGATTGGCCACTTTTGGTAGGACAGGCTGTATATATATACATATATACAGGGTGTCCGAAAATTCGCGGAACACCCTTTAAGGGAAGGTAGAGGGTGTTATTCTGAACAGAAAAGTCCTGTAACATTTTTTTCTATAACGCTTCATAAAGGAGTTATTATTGAGTAAAGTCTGGCCAATCTACGCCAACCTTTAGCCGGGCGCACGTCAGTGAGCCCGCGCTGCGAAGTGTGCGCCGCCGCACACTACTAGGCGCGCGACTCACCGACGTGCGCCCGGCCTTCCCTTGAAGGGTGTTGCGCGAATTTTCGGACACCCTGTATACATACATACATATATACAGGGTGTTAGAAAAGTCTGGAAACGGTCAAATATCTCGTAAACAATGCATTTTAGAAAAAAAATGTTTCAGACAAAAGTTGTATGGTTTCGAGGGGGACATAAGGTCGTACATCGGTGAGCCGCCCGCTTGGTAGTCAGTGTTCCGATTAGGGACCGGGTACGCGCATGTGCGGGAATACAGCATCAGTAAAGTATCTCATACAAATAAAAAGAGGCGCTAGTACCCGGCTACATTTAAAATATTTAAAAAAGGTTTTAAAAATGTATTAAGAAATAAAATATATACATATATAGATAAAAATATACATTGTAATTAATTCAAGACGCGATGCGCTGTGCTGGTAGATTTTACTCAATAATAACTCCTTTATTAAACGTTACAGAAAAAAATGTTACAGGACTTTTCTGTTCAGTTTACTGTGCTCTACCCGCTCACAAGCGTTGGCACAATCTTTACCGGACGCCCTGTGTATATATATATATATTTAACAAAAAATAGGAGAGATATCTATATGTATTATGATTCACTAACCACATCATTAACGATGAACAGTAAAACAGCTATGCTCTTTCTTTTTTCTATAATGCCTTATATATGCATTACTTAGAGTTTACATAAAAATTATGTATGATATATTAATTTTAATGAAATTAATGATATATGATAATATTTTTTTCTTATTTATCTTGTATTTTTTAACAAAAATATTTTGTATAAATTTTAATATATATCTGATTATAAAATACGCGTTATCGTGTGTAATATAAGTGCATATATAACAAAGTATGCATATAAATATGTTTAATATTTTATCACACATATATCGAGTATCATATCATTCCTATATAATTGCTAAAGCCAATTTTATATTATTATCACAAAAGCATAAAAAAAAGATTATTTAATTTTATTAATTTTATATTTTTGAACTTTTTCTTGATCTCACTATAATAATACCGGCACCATTTTTACATTCCAGCATAAAATATAATCAAAATTTCATATAAATAATATAAATTTAAATAAAATATTTATTACAAAACACGGTAAGATTCTTAATCTTTTATTAGTCTGTACAAAAAAAAATAATCTTTAAAAAAAGAAACACATAAATTTAAATTAAATAAATAAAACTATGTACAATATTCTCTTAGCATCCACTATTCTTTAATACTGCAAATTGAAAGGACCATTTTATTTTTTATATAATTCTCAAAAATTTCAATATGTTGTTTTTTTAGAAAACTCTGAAATCCTAAAAACAAAAATATTTTTTGAGTGAATTTGTTCTCTCTACTTCACACGTGCAATTCTAAAGATTATATGATGTTTGTTTTTCTTATCATGTCACCTCTTCATTTTATCGATCTGTAAAAGACAAACTTACCTATAAATAAATGTTGTAATTTCCCGCTCAGTGGAAATAAACTTGACAATGTTTTCAATAATTCGTCAAAATCACCATTTTGTGTATAGCTTTGTATCATAGTTGCAAATGTTTTATAATCATTCGCTGATAACGCCCGTTTCACCTAAAAGTATTATTTACGTTTAAATATTGCATAATTTCCTTCTATAAATATTATTGAGCTTTTATATACTTACATCTTTCAAATATTGTTTTCCCAATGTCTTCTTATCATCTTTATTCGCTTCTTTGATGTTTTGTATGATATTTACATAATTACTTTCTAGAACTGTTGACGAAGAGGTTGAGGGAGCAGAAAAATATGCATCAACTCCGGACGGTAAAATATTGATTTTCCTCCTTTTAGCAGTTGGTTCGTCAACATGTTTTGCCAATTCGCATGTACTCTGACTGTCTTTTAATTTGCAAGAATTAAAATTAATCGCAGATTGTGGCTTCACCGATTTTCCTTTGTCCTTTATACTTCCATCTAAATACATATCTATGGCAAAACTATTCTTAGTCTCTTCTGTCATAAGGTTGTTTTGTGCTTTTTGTTTTAGAGAATGAGGTAATGTTGTTTCAAAGGTAGCGCCTACGGCAGGCAGCGATATATCTTCGTTCCCATATTGTGCACGAATGATGTTATCAGGTTGTGGCAGCTGTGAAATTGTCACAAATTAGAATAGACCATTAAGCACGTAATATTTTTTTTTCTAATCGCATTTAATTAGAATAAAAACTTGCAATATTTTCCGCATTTCTAAAAAATTCTCGTAACTCTTTCGTGATCATTCCGAAATTCGTAAACTTCTTTATGTACGGCCTAAGCCAAGCGGATAATTGTTTCTTAAAATTTGGATTTTCGAATCTACAATCGCAGAGTATCACGGCGCCATAATCACTCTTGTGTCTTATTATCCTGCCAATAGCTTGATTAACGGCTCGTGACGCTTCAAGCTGATACCATTCTTGCCCGGTTAAACTCTAAATATTAAATGTTGTTCATTATTCTTATTAGAGATCATTAGAGTGTGATTATTTTTTATCAAAGTTAAACGAATGTGTGATTTATACTTCTTTCTCCGCTGTCCTTATTTCCTCCAGATATCTTTGCTTCAGCATAACTCGCGGATCCTTCAAGGGCGGAAATGGAAGACCAATGATTAATACAGCCCTACCATTTGCATTAGCGAAATCCAGACCTTCGCTGACCTTTCCTCTGCACACCGCCATGAAAACCGCCCCCTTGCAAGACGGATCTCTAATTTTTTGATAGTACTCGTTCATCACGTTGACAAATCCGTCTTTTGAGTTGGGTTCTACGTAAATGGGCTATATCCAGAATTATTAATATACCGTATTATATCACGAAATACATTACTTTGTAACACGTTAAATATTGCTTACCTTACGTTCGGCAATTTGTGTCCACAAACCCATATTCTGCCATTCATCTCTGCATTTTTTCATGATCGGATACGATGGAAAAAATATCAACAATCCGTGAGGGACGATGCAGCTAAAGTTATATACTGTTCTTCCAAGAGATGCGATATATTTTGGATCATTTCTATGAAGATGTAAATATGATAATATAATAAAAGAGTTACGTCACGCTATGTATAATAGTATTTACCTCGTGTTGTAGGACGAATTGAGCGGATGATTATCTGGACCTTGACTAAGAACACCAACACATACTTGTTGTTTTGTTACAATGTGCGGATTTTCCAGCTGAACCG